GTGGTGCTGGTAGAAACACTAGTGCTAGTAAAAAAGATCATTTTTTCCTATTTCTTCTTTTTCTTCTTTCTCCTCCTGTCTGCTGCTGTTTCTCGGTACAAACTGTCATCAATAGGAGACAGAATTTGCGCTCAGAGTGTTACCTTCTCACTCTCTCACTCTCTATTTTGTCTTGATCTCCATTCAAAGTGCATGAGACTAATTACATTTGCTTCGCTTTTCCCCCTCGCTTCTTTCACTCTCACTCTCACTTTTTTTGTTTTTTGCCGGGAGTTTCCCTGCAGTATTATGTGCACTTGCTGTTACAGCAGCAGCAGCAGCAGCGGGCGAATCACATACGGTATTGATATTGAGCCTCCTCTCTTCTCTTTAACTACTGCAGTGACGAAGAATTAAGACTATTATATTTGCTTAGCAATGTTTATGATCGTCGTTGAACTGGAAAATTAGGGACTGCTTACTACTACACTTGCTACTGCACTGCGTTCGTCAGCGGTGGTCGGGTAAATTCCGCCGCTGCTGCCGCCGTTGCCGCAACCGCCGCAATTCCCCGAATTGCCCAACTGGACTACCCCATCAGCCATTTGGCTGTCTGCGTTGTGAAATCATCAGACACTCACTTCAGACAAGTCAACTCAGTCAGTCTAATACTACAGACAGCCAGACTACTCGAGACGTACTACAGACGGACGGACATTTAGCAAGGGCAGTGGCGGCCAAGGGTGGGAATCGAGTCCATTTTTCCGCTGTAGCAACACAGCCAACGCTAGAGGGCGTGTAACGTTGGCTGTGTAGCTACAGCGGAAAAGTGGACTCGATTCCCACCCCTGGTGGCGGCATTTAGTCAGTGAGAGTTGGAGTGAGTGAGTGAGTGAGTGAAGTGCGGAAATCTTGCTTCCTGCCAGAACGGCAGTTTCGGCGGCGGCAGCGGCACTTGTAAGAAAGAAGAACGCAAAGAGGGTTTTGCTACACAGAGTGAGAGAGAAAGTTCTGCTAATCGAAATTACAAGCTCGTGTTGGTGGCCACTATTGCCCTCGCATTTACCCTGCTTGACGTCTCACACAGCACGTCTGTCTACAGCAATTTGACTCGCTGCTGGCGTCGGTTGCAGCGACGGCGGTGGCGGCGGCGGCAACGGCAACGTCGGTTCTTTCCTCTCGATTTTGTGAATGGGGTACCGAGTGCACGGGCCGAAGGGCGCAGTCGCCTGCAGTGCGCACTGAGCAGAATGACGCCGCTGATCTGCAGAATCCCTTGCTGGCTGCTGCTGCTGCCTCACAGAAAGCACACTTGCCATTCCAATGCAGAATCGGAGAGAGAGAATGAGAATGAGGAGATTCACTGCAAGTACTACTACGACCACCACCACTACTGTCCAACCCAATATATAGCCCAGTGTCCGGTGGTCTGCCCAGCTGCTGGCCATCATTTCTGCTGCCGTTGTGTCCTGCACTGCCACCAGCACAGCTCACCATTATCTGCGTCCTGCTGCTATATATAGCATAGCGGTTGCAGTGCAAAACCAACGCCTCATCACCTCACGCCCATCCGCTGACGACAGCAACAGCAGCAGCAAAGGCAGCAAAAACTGGGTGATATGGTTGTTCAGTTTGGCGTGCTCACTCTTTCTCTCTCTCTCTCTCTCTCTTTCACTATATCGTCCTGGTCGACTCACTTTCTCTCTCCAGCGATTCTGGTAAAGCCCGTTTACTCATTGCTGGCTGGCTGGCAGGCTGACTATACAAAACGCAAGAGAGGACCAGGGAACACACACTCTCTCTCACTCGCTTTGCTTTGCTTTCGTTCGTTCATTCGCTCTCTTTCACCGCTTATCAAGATTATCGCCTCAACGTCTGCTGCAGTTGAAGTTGCAGTTGCAGTTGCAGGAGTAGTAGCAGGAGCACTGTTGTGGCCATTTGGCAATCGGCGCCTTTCCTTCTTTTCTACCACGACCACGACGACGACCACCGACCACCACCACCACCCCTCCTGCTTCTTCGTATTCTCCGCAAAACCCTCGTATTGCGCCAGCTCGAAGTTCTCTCTCTTTCTCTTTCTCATTCGTGGGTTCGCTCTTTTTCTTCCTTTTTGGAGCACTGTCTGGCGTGCTCCCTTCTTCCCTACTACTACTGCCTGCCTCTGCCTTCTGTGCTTGTCTACTGCCTAGCTGTAGCGACACTGTCTGAGCGTGTGTGTGTGTGTGGTTGATGTCGGGTGTTGTGACCTGAAGGCGACCGACGACCAGTGACCGACGACGTTCTGTCCGCCGCCGCCGTCTGCCTGCCTTCCCATCTCTAGCAGTCCACGGTCAAATGCTTCTAGCTGAGCGGTCTTTAGCAGTGTATGTGTATGCTCTCCACTCAGTCCGAGTGAATGAAGTGCATCATCGTCATTACCCGACTCTGTACCAGCACCCAGCTCTGCATTCTGACCTCACTCCTCTTCCTCTCTCCGATGATCTCTGCTCTAGTAGTAGCTGACTGACGGCGTCGCCGTTGTCGTTGTCGACGTCGTCCCTATCGTCCTCTTCCGATTCCTCCTCTTGTTCTTCACTGACCACTGCATCATTTCCATCAGCCAGTGCCATGCCCACTGCGGATTGACAATCATCAAAATTAAACCCCGGACACACCCAAAAACCAATCTGACTCAAAGTGAAACAAGACGATCTTGACTAATCAAGGCGCACACCGATTCTTCATTCCTCTATTCTGTGTTCCTGTTCAATGATACAGTGCCCGACATGTGACTGAAAAAGGATATTGTGTAGTCCCTTAGAGGTCATACTGGTCATCCTCGTGTTTTCACACTGTTGTGAAACTCGACAGTGAAGTGATGGTTAACTTGATGGCGAAATGAATGAAGCGTTGTCGGTCTTGTAATTTGAGACAAAAGGCCGTAGAAAACACAAGTGGTGAGCGTCGAGTTTGAATTAACAAGAAGAAGAGTCACTTTGTAGTTGATCATCTCATCATTACCATACTCAATTGTGCTACTGCTGTTTCTCTGCTGTTGATTTTCGCTCGTTTGTTTTAATTTTTGTTTGCTGTTCATGAAAATTTGTTGTTGATCAAGCGCCCATTGATTCATCACTTACTGCCAACTTATCTTTCCTCTCTTTTTGCTGTCATCCACTGACAACATTCTAACTTCCTTCCTACTTACCTTCCTCTCGTGGAAGATATCATCGGTCTATCCTATTCTCGCACAGCTGTTAAGAAAAAAGATAATCCTATTTTTATCTTCAATTTCTTTTTATTGAGTAAAGGCGACGACCGAAACAGACGACGCCTCCCAAACGTATTGCCTTATCAAGAGAGAGTATAGCCACTGCACTACTATCATCACCACTACCGCAACCATCATCACTATCATTAACAAAACAAATTGCAACTACCACCAACGGCGGAAGTACCACTTTTTTTGCTTTCTCCTTTTCTTCTGTTATCGTCTCCGGCTGAATTATTGCCACCAGCTGTTTCGTTCACGACTACAACGACGACGACGGCAGCCAACGCAGTTCGACGTCTCGCACACTTTTTCACTCTCATCACTCGTGCCAGCACGACCAGCTACTCCTCTTCGGCGGTTGATGAGCAGTTGCAGGCGGCCCTGCAACTAACCAATCCGGCAAGATGACCAAAGACAGGCTGGCCGCTTTGAAAGCGGTAAGTGAACCTTGATAATGTTTTGAGACTTTCATTTGATCATTGAATCTATGAACTTTTTGTCCTTTAGGCCCAAGTCGATGACGACGATGTCGCCATTGGCATGGAGGAGAAGGGTGGCTACATGGAGGAGTTCTTCACGGAGGTCAGTTACCGAAGAATAGACAATTTTGTTGTCAGTAGCAATAACAGATAATTTGGTGGTTGTTGCTGTTTAGGTGGAGCAAATTCGAGAGAACATCGAAAAGATGCAAACGAACGTGGAGGAGGTTAAAAAGATACACTCCGCAATTCTCAGCGCACCTCAGACCGATGACAGTACGTAAACTAATGAAGAAGTTTGACAGAACATGACAAAATCCTTTTTTATTAAAACAGAGGTCAAGCAGCAACTGGAAGATCTCATGGCCGACATCAAGCGGACAGCGAACAGAGTGAGGGGAAAGCTGAAGGGTAAGCTAGAAATAACTATGGAAAATGCTTACAAATCTAAATCACTTTTTTGGGAAAACAGTTATGGAGCAAAACATTGAACAGCTCGAACAGACGTCAATGATGAGTGCCGACTTTCGTATTCGCAAGACACAACACTCGATGCTCTCGCAGAAGTTTGTCGAGGTGATGACTGACTACAATAAGACGCAAACCGATTACAGAGAAAGGTGCAAAGCAAGAATACAGCGTCAATTGGAGATCAGTAAGTTACGAATTTCATTGATTAGTTTTATAAATGGCTAATCATCAATTATTTTTAGCTGGAAGGTCGACGACAAATGAAGAACTCGAAGAGATGCTTGAAAGCGGGAATCCTGCAATATTCACTCAAGGGGTGAGTTGTTGTTAAAATTGTAACGAATTTAGAAACTAGGATACTAACTTTTTCTACCACCATCAGATTATGACTGACACCCAGCAAGCAAAGCAAACGCTTGCGGACATTGAAGCCCGTCACGCTGATATCATCAAACTTGAAAACTCCATTCGAGAGCTGCACGACATGTTCATGGACATGGCCATGCTGGTCGAATCGCAGGTACTTCATTAAAAGAACAACAATTTGCCAAACAAAAGTACGACCAATTTGGCTTTTCATTTCCTAACAGGGAGAAATGATTGACCGGATTGAGTTTCACGTATCCAGTGCACTGGAGTACGTCGAAGAGGCGGTGAAGGACACGAAGAAGGCAATGGAGTACCAGAGGAAGGCACGAAGGGTAAGTTCATTGTTGATTGACATTGGAATGAGTGTTTACTAACTGCTGATTTATTTCACTTTTTTCGTTTTAGAAACAAATTATGATACTCATCTGTCTGCTTATCATTGGCTTTATCCTAGTCTCCATAGTGCTCAGCATGTTCTGATCTCTTCCTTTTCTGGTTCAGTCTGCAGACTGCAGTTCAGTCTTCGTTTCTTGCTTTTTCTTCCTCTCTTTGACTCTTCAGTGACTCACCATCATCATCTTCACCACCTCTGGACGCGCATCTCAGCACTGCAATCGTCTTCACCCCTACTCCCACCATCACCATCACCTGACGGGTTGTGCCTTGTTGCAGCAGCAGCAGCATCATGGGCATCAGTCGTCACCACCACAAACTCCCAACACAGTGTGATTCCATTTGCCATTGACTGACGGCCAATCAGCCCACCGTCATCACCACAGTCATCCGACGAGTCATTTAAACTCCAGTGTTTTTCCTCCTTCTCCGCCTTCACTTCCAACCCACAACCACACCCACCACTAATAATATCCCACCGCAGCACCCATTTGAAATCACCACCAATCTTGACCACCACTCTCACACTACAATGGCACAATGCACACAGCAGAGTTTTCTAACTTCAATGGAACTTCACTGGACTACTTAAATGATTATAATCATGAAGATGATGAGTGACTGGCTGCCTGAAAGAGGTCTGAAAGTGCAATTCAAATGTAAAGTGGCCTCTGAGAAAGTGTCAAAAGTGGCTTGAGCGTGAACGCTGTCTCGTTTGAACGTTGTCTTGTTCGCCTGTTCTTGTTGTTACTTGTGGTTATTTTCTCTACGCTAGAAACCTCTGGACTCTGTGAATCCAAAACTCTCTGCAGCACAATTCTTTCCTTTTTCCTGTCCTTACTCTATCCTCTCAGTTTCACTTTCCGCACTTCCGGTCGACCTTCAAATTTGGCAGTTTGCTCTTTTTGAAGCGAACTTAATTGATAGCACTAACCCAACCAAAAGTTACGACATTCACGACGACGACGACGGCCACCACCAGAACCTTTGCATCGTTTGACCTTCAACCTTCCGTTTTTAGTTTGTCAACTAACTTCAACTCTATTTCTCTTCTTTCATTCCTATCTCCTACAACACTGCATTATCCCACCTTTGCTTCAATTTCAAAAAATTTCCGTTTGCTCGTGTGCTCGTGTGGTCATATATTTTTCTCCGTTGTATTTCTCACTTCACCATTTACCCCACCTCAACATTTAACTCACCTCCTTTTCTGAAAACTTACCACTACTTACTCGAGGATACCCTAGGACTTCCACTGTTTTCTTCACCCTCTTCTTCACTCATTACCTCCCCAGCTGACGCCGGTGTGGCAGTCAAGCACCTCTCTTTTTCTCTTTCACACCTTCCATTTGTGGTTTTCGTTCTGATTTTGTTTGTTTGTTTGCTGTTGGCCGCCTGACTGATGCTCTCTGGTCTCTCTCTCTTTCTCTCACTTTTCTTTTCTTTCTCTAATTTATTTATTTTTGATATGTGATCTTTTTTCTTTACCCTTCTTTCCGTTTCGTATATATTCCGCTTCTATTTTTCTCCTTCTGTTTTGTCTCCTTCTCCTTTCATTCCTCTCTCTTCACATTCTTTGTTTTCACTCGAACTTACCACTGTTTCTAAATTGTTGTTTGGCTATGTTTGGCTCATCCGCAGCAGCAGCAACAGCAGAGTTTGTTCGACCACACGCCCACAACACACAAAAACACACATCTCGAACACACCCACAAAGATCAGCGTAGAGTTTCCTTTTTTCTCACTATATTTTTGTTGTTTTTTCATTCCAATGCTGTGAGAGTTGTACTTCTTCTCAACTTGTTCTTCCTTTTCTTCAACTCAAACTTCTTCTACTAAACGGCTTCTCAACTGATTGTGCCCAGCCACCACCACCACCACCACCACTGTCATCATCATGATCATCACTACGAATACTGCAATTCCTAATGCAATAATTACGCAACTTCCAAACCCACAAGACTACACTTACACACACAGAGGAAGCGATATCACCTTTTTGTAAATTTGATTTTCCGGCCAGTGGATGAAAAGGAAAAGGCCCATAGGCGGTGACTGTGACTTTCGTATTGACAGATGTTGTTTGTTGCTCTTCCTCACAGCCGCCACGACTTACAAAACACCCACATTGGCACAACTTTTTAGCTTCCTTAATCTCTTGTTGATAGCCTTTCTCTTTTTGATTTGAGCATTCCTCTTCTCCTTCTTTTTTTTCCATTCACCGCTAGTGACTTTTCACTCCTCTTCACTGCAGGACACCACACACACACTAACACACAACACACAGATTAACCTAACACTACCGAACACTGCAAATCATCAGCCTCTCTCTCTTTTCGGTGTAAAGGGCAACCCTGACGACCCCCCCCCCTTTCGGTAGTGAGCAATAATGCCAATTTGATCAGTAGACAAAAGGCAGTGATGTGCAGGGGTGGTAGCACTAGCCAGAGGATGCAGGCATCAACGAGGAAAGCAAGTGCAATAGCAGCAGCAGAAGCAGTTGTACACCTTCTCTCTTTTTTTCAGGCACGGAAGCAGAATGCGTCACAGAATTGCCCCCTGCTCTATCTTTTCTCTCTCCTTCTCCCACACACGGACTCTTTTTGCTGGTGCTCGCAGGCCGCCAACTGCCACCCAAAACACCTACACACACACATTCACTTCTTCTTTTTTCGGTTGTTTGCTGTACCGTGTAAACACACTCACACACACACACACTTTCCGTCACGGTCTGGTGGTGAGAAGGTAGGCAGGCGGGCAGGCGGGCAAATAAGCAGGCAGGTAGGCTAGAGACCGGAACTCTTTTTCTCACAGACACACACACGGAATTCATTACCCCTCACCACCTGCCGAAGGGAAACAACAGAACAGTCAGAGACAGAAACTGAGAGAAAGAGCTGCTACTGCTATTATTTTTGCTAACCGCCTACCGAAAAATTCCGAGAAGTATTCCTCCTCCCATCACATACATGGCACACACATTGCAAATTATTTCATCCTCTTTCCGACGGAAGTGTACTACCGTCAAACATTGATCACACAAACTGAAACACACACAAACCGAAACACTGCTCTTCCAGTAATTTCTTTCACTATCCTTGCGATCATCTCTCTTCATCGTACTCACCACCAGACTAATCTAGGCAAATCTTTAAATTGTATTTTATGGCTATATTTTGCAATTTTCCCTTTCCTTTTTTCTCCATTGACCACACACACACACACACACACACACACACACACACACACACACACACACACACACACACACACACACACACACACACACACACACACACACACACACACACACACACACACACACACACACACACACACACACACACACACACACACACACACACACACACACACACACACACACACACACACACACACACACACACACACACACACACACACACACACACACACACACACACACACACACACACACACACACACACACACACACACACACACACACACACACACACACACACACACACACACACACACACACACACACACACACACACACACACACACACACACACACACACACACACACACACACACACACACACACACACACACACACACACACACACACACACACACACACACACACACACACACACACACACACACACACACACACACACACACACACACACACACACACACACACACACACACACACACACACACACACACACACACACACACACACACAAACCACTCACTCTCACGCACACACTATTTCATCAGGTGTGTGCGTGCGAGATGACTACCGTCGAATCTTCAGTTACAGTACCCAGAAACAGCAAAAACAGCAGCAGCAGCAATGGGAAACTTGAGATCAGAATGCACCAGTGCACCTCATTCCTGGTGGCATCTCCACACTACTGACATGATCCCATTGCATTCCCAGTTCTGTCAGTGCGTCAGTCACCTGACACTAACAACTGACACCATTCAGGCGACATAGAGCGCAGCCTGTGTCCCAGTAAGCAGTGCAAAAAGGGAACAGTTCAAAAGAGTGGAGTTTCACCAGAGGAAACAACAGTTCAGAGCAGAGTAGATGAAAGCAGGCAAACAGAGACAAAGCAAAACACACATCTGCACTATCATTCCTTCGTCTCTTACTGTGCTTGTTATTACTGCGAGTCATCATTGGTGTTTTGCTGTCGATTGAGAAATGATTACTGCACACACACCACGAACTAAACGAGCAGATTAACCTAAGCCACATTATATCATCTAGGCTACTATTGCTGCTGTTGTTGCTGACTCTATCTGATATCTGCGTATGGCACCGAATGACCTATGGAATCTTCTCTCCATTATCTTTCTCTTTTTTCTCTGGCCTCGGGTCTCCTTCTCACTTCGTCTCTCTCTCCCTTTCTGGCAGCTAAAAGCTGTACTCAATGTGAGTCCCAGAGGGCGATTAGGAACCCAATAATAACACACACACCCACACTCAGACACACCCATACACTAACACAAATACACACACATCTACAATAACAAACAGTGATCTGTGCAGTGCAATCATTCTGATTCCCTTGGATGATACCAAACACACCTACCCGTAAACACACCCACCCAAACACACATGATTGGACATACCAATGCAAAAATATTGATGAAACCATTTGAAACCACCGCTATCTTCTTTTGTTGACTGTCTTGCATTCTTCTTCTTTCTGTACATAACCTCTCTTTCTCTATCTCTCTCTTTTATTTCTCTATTTAAATATTAAATTGAATGTGAATGTAATTCTTCTATATTAAAAGTTTCCGCTCTCATATAATTTAGCTAAAACCGATTACTTCTGGTGCAACTAATCTCTTCCCTTTCAGAATCTGGCAGAACCTAAATCCTGGTCATCGGAAGCAATGACAAACAAATCTTTAAATTCCCCTCCATCTGATACAGCGTCGCCATCTGCCGGCTTTTCGGTGGCTGGAAAACTGTTGCAAGGATTGGAAAACAACACAACAAAACACAGCTGCTGCCTGGCTCACCCACTTTGGCTCCACTGCTTCACCGTCACACAGTCACACAATCATCATCATCATCAGCAGCGGCATTATCGTCTTGACCTTCTCTTCGGTGTCCTCACCTCAGCTTACCTCTTTCTTTGCTCACCCTTGAGCACCTGCACCTCCACCGTCGTCTGGCTAATTGTCTACCGGCTAATCTGGCTGACGTTCTAACTTCTCAAGCCTTAGCTCTACACCTTGTAAGCTTTTGTTTCGACTGGTGGGTGACTGGCTGCGTTCTGCATCGAGTGCTTCAACTTCGAAAGATCAACGGCGGCGTACACACACTGGTCTCTCTGTGTTCTGTCTGCTGTTGCTGCTGTTGCTGCCTACCCGTACGAGTGCTGGTGGAGATCAGGCTACTCTTGCAGGCTGCTCAACTGCTACTGTCATTATCGGCTGTTGCTGCAGCTTGCTAGCGAGCACTGACTAGTGTTGCTGCTGTTGTCAAGTCACCCGATTGTCTCTGGCGGAGTTCTGTTGCTGCTGCTGCTCGCCTGCTGCCGTTGGTGATCGTTACTCATCGGCTTGGGTGACACATTCTTTTACTCAATAGAGTGCTCTCACCACCACCACCACCGCTACAATCATCACAAGGAAAGACGCCTCCAGCAGTGAGAGTAACAATAAGAAAGAGTAACAATTGCCCCAACATTCTCTCACACCTGATACACCAAAAGGCTTTGGGGTTTGTTGTCATCGATTGATGCTGTGCTTCTGTGGTAATTGCCCGGCTGATAAATCAATCTGTCAGCTGCAACTCACACACACACACACCTTGAGTCACGTTGAGAAGCACTCTCAGCTGAATCACCCCCTCGCCTCTCGTCTTTCAAGAACAGAGCTTTGTTTTGGTGCTGAAAGTTCCCTCCCCTCAATTTTTTCACCTTTATTAAAGTTGTCCTTTAATCTTCGTAATTAGGAGGACGAAGATATCAACAATAACACCGGCATCATGGTTCGAGACCGTCTGAAGGAGTTGAGATCGGTAAGACTTGTTCTGTTTTTTATTTCTCTAACTTCAGCTTCGACTTTCACTGCTGCAGTATCAACAGAATGACAAACATGAAGACGAGAGCTTCATCGTCAGGATCACCGATCCTCCAAACGGCCACATGGAGGAGTTCTACACAGAGGTGCGTGTTTAGCAGGTCAGGTGTTTTCAAACAATAACATGCCTTGCTTCTGTAGGTTCAGCAAATTCGGGAGAACCTCGATAAGATGCATGCGACTGTTGAAGAGGTGAAAAAGTTACACAACACCATCCTCAGCGACCCAAAAGAAGATGGAAGTAAGTGCACACGTTTTTCGGGAAGTTGAGGAACATAGTTACAAAGTCTATTTTCCAAAACAGAGGTCAAGCAGAAGCTGGAGGATCTCATGGCAGACATCAAGCGGACGGCAAACAGAGTGCGAGCGAAGCTGAAAGGTATGCTCTAATCTTGAGGTTACTCTAGGCGTAAAACTAACTCTAATTTGTGCTCACTAGGAATCGAGCAAAACATCGAGCAGTTGAAGCAAACGGCGTCAAACAGCGCCGACTTTCGCATTCGCAAGACACAGCACTCGATGCTCTCGCAGAAGTTTGTCGAGGTGATGACTGACTACAATAAGACGCAAACCGATTACAGAGAACGGTGCAAAAACAGAATACAGCGTCAACTGGAGATCAGTGAGTCACCGAAATTTCTTCAAGGAGTTTCAAGCGACTAATGATCATTCTCTCTAGCTGGAAGGTCGACAACGAATGAAGAACTCGAAGGGATGCTCGAGAGTGGGAATCCCGCCATATTCACCCAAGGGGTCAGTAGAAGAGGAGTTCAATTTGTATTATTTGATACTAAAGCATCTCCATTAGATCATAGCGGAAACTATACAAGCCAAACAGTCACTGGCTGACATTGAAGCTCGTCACGCTGATATCATCAAACTTGAAAACTCCATTCGCGAACTGCACGACATGTTCATTGACATGGCCATGCTGGTGGAGCAACAGGTGGGCTGACCAGTGACCAATCAAAACAACAGCAACTTTACTAACACTTTTCACTAACACCCTTTAGGGCGAGGCAATCAACCGAATTGAGACCCACGTGCAGAGCACCTTTGACTACGTGGAGAAGGCACGCGAGCAGACGAAGCAGGCAATGGAGTACCAGAAAAAGTCTAGAAAGGTTAGTTTTAGTACACTGAAAAGACAACAGAGGTTTTGGTTACAATTTTATATACTTTTGCATGGAACTTGACTTTAACGAATTTTTATTCTCCCAATACCTTTTTTCTAATTGCATGCCCACTCCGCTAACCAACTTCTCCTCCCCTCTTCACCCTCTAACACAATTAACTCCTCATTCTCGCCTAACTCTTCGGCACAAAATGAATCAATTTACAATTCTCACTAACTTTTTTGCAACTAAAACAATGGAACCTTGCATGGGCTGCTACCACTACCACCACCACTACCACTGCGATCACTGTAGCTTAAAATTATCATCGCCCTCATAGTGATCATTGTCCTGGCCATCATCATCGGCGTGCTCGTATACAGTTTTAAATCAACTTAAGCTTTTAGTTGTCCCCCTTCAGTAGACCCTCTAACATAGACTTAACCGACTCCAAATCATCCCCTCCCTTCCCCAGTCCTCCGTAGCAGCTGCCAATTGCTAATCAAGGGCATTTGACGCTAACCAATGTCCTGTTTCTTCCCCACCTCCTAACACTCCTACTAAATCCGACTACTACTACTACCACCACCAAACCATTGCATGCTACCACAAACCCTCATTTACGCCCCCTCCCTGCAGTGTTGGGTGCTCATTCCGCGAGCGAAGAGCAGTCACAGTCCGAGCACTACCACCATCGCCCCCACTGCAGCCTCTCGCTCCAAACGTTCCATAGCATCGATCATTACCTCCTCCTCCTCCTCCTCATTTGAGTCTCAACTTCTTGCCCCTCTGCCCTTCTTCGATGATGATGACCACTATGTGCCATTCTTTCCGAGCTAATTTGTTTTCAAATGCATGAAACATCGAACTGAAGGACTGTCTGTGTGATTGTGTTTGACTATTTCCTTTCACTATCTTTTGCCATTCAACTCTGGTCAACCGTCTATCCATCTCTTTTGCACGAGTGTTGTACAACACTCGTCTTGTCGTTTTCTATGTTTGCTTTCTATGTTTCATGTTTTTTCTCTATTTCTCTCTTCTTTCTCAGCTCAAGTTTATCATTGCCGGTATCATCGTCGTCGTCATTGTGCTCATCATCTGGGGTGCTTTTGGATAAGGGGATCGCAACTGCGGAAGAGGGGAAAGCTGTTTTTATAAAATAAAAGACCACATTCACCACCACCACCACCTTCATCACCATCACCATCCTCATCATCAGCTTCATTGCCTTCACCACCTCACCACATCCACTACTGAAGTTCTCCAGTCTCTCAACTTCTCACCTTATTTATTATTTTTATTGTAGCATGCATCTACACACCTTTTCAGTTTTTCTCTTCTTTTTTCACTTCAAATATAATATTTACCCTTTTCAAATTTTGCCTAAACCTTGTGAACTACCAACACCAGCTGTTTTCGAGGAAACAAGAGTTCCAATCAAAGTAATGTCTGTAAAATATGGGGTAAGAGAAAGACAGCCACAAAGACAGCAGAAAAGTTTGCAAAAAAACTACAGCAACAGAAAAAAACATTAACATTGCAAAGGTTAGGGGTCTCCCGTTTACTGCTGCTGCTGGAGCTGGGGCTGGGGCTGCTGTTGTTGCTGGGGCTGCTGAGCAGCGAGCGCCGCCAGGACCTCGCTCTTGGGCTCCTGCGCCTCATTCCAGTCGTACTTCATGTCTGCCATGGAGACGCCCATCTGCAGCAGTGCCTGGTAGAAGGTGGCGCGCAGGTCCTCATAGGGCGGCCGCTCCTCGAAAGCCAACCTCTTGACGGCGCCGTGGAAGGCGGCGTACTGCGGGGGCATGCTGCTGCACAGCACCGCCGCCGCCGTGTCCGCCTTGATCTGCGCCACCTGGCGGTAGCGCTCGCGGACGTCGGCGGTGGGCGGGAGGCCCTGCCAGGGCAGCGTGCCCTTGTGCAGGAAGACGATCATGTAGAGGAGAGCCTCCAGGTCGTCCCGGCGACTCAGCTCGCAGCCGGCGTGATTGTTCACGCTGATGTAGCGGGCGGTGCCGGTGATGGGCTTCCCACGGCGGAAGGCAATGTGGCGGTTCTCCTCGTCGACGAACTTCTTGCAGAAGCCCAGGTCGATCAGCATGACGGTGCACCACTTGTCGGTGTTCGCCTGCCCGAACAGAAAGTTCTCCGGTTTGATGTCCCTGAAATTCCATGTAATCAGTGTTAAAAATGTTACCAGCTAAGAAACCACATTTTACCGGTAGATGATGGCCCGCTCGTGGATGTACTCAAAGAGCGTGAGCAGCTGCACCATCAGCTGCGTGGTCGTGGCAATGGTGAAACGGTGGCCAAACTTGGCGTTCATGTTCAGCAGCGACGGCCCCAGCAGCTCCATGACCAGGGCGTGCCAGTCGCCCACCGGAGCGAAACAGAAGATCTGCGGAATGAAGCGAGCATTGCCCAGCGCTCGGTAGAAGCCGTACTCGAGGTAGAGCTGCGCCTGGGCGGCGTCCTTCTTCTCCAGCTTGACGCCCACCTGCTTGCCGCCGCCGCCGCCGCCGCTGCTGGCTCGGTTGTCAGTGCCGATGTGGAAGGCGCCAAATGAGCCACCGGTGATGTATCGGTCAATGGTGAAGTCGTTGTTGTGAAATGGCTGCCCGACCAGCGACTCGGATTCTCGTGTGGCCATGTTACGAGGAGAAACTTGAAATGCTTGGCTTGGTTAGCGTGACTCGGAGCAAGTTTTACATTGAAAGAAAAAAGGAGTTGCCTTCAAGCAAAGTCCACGTCAACAATGGCCTTTGTGGGCGCTACTTTTTAGAACTTCCGAAAAGTGTGATTCAAAGAAGTGCGGTAAATTCCATTTTTTGAATGACAGCAGGGAAAGTTGTCGGACAGAAGAATGCCGGCAAGATTGCCCATGTCGGTTTGTTGTGGTGCTGAGCTGAAAGAGAAAACAGCGCGAGAACGTTTTCTCGACTTGATACTTTTCTCTTGTGTTGCATCACCATCAAACAGACATCCTTTCAATCATCATCAACCTGTCATGGCCCTAGCCACCCTCATTATGTGGCCCCTAGGCAGTCTGGTGCGTGGACTGCCCTATCTGGTGGCCGTCTGCTGGATTCTCACGGCGGCCCTCTACGACGTGAACGTCGTCCTGCAGCAGTCGCTCTTCCTGGTGGCGTACTTCTACCTGACCAATCTGCTGGAACGACTGCTCGCCCGCTACCTCAAAGTGGACACCGACCGACTGCTCTTCAGCAGCTTCATCAACACCTCCGCACTGGCCATCCTCGTCGTCGGTTTCCTCGGCCTGTCGCCCTTTGCCTTCCTCAAGCCTTCCTCCTCCAACTCAAGTTCCTCCTCGGTCGGCTCTGTTCTCCTCTCAGCGGCCACCTTCTCCTACGCCCTCTTCCTCCAGCTGGTCGAGCCCGTCCTCATGTTCATCGAGATGGTCATGGTCATTCGACTTATCCTCGCCATCGGTGAGCGACTGCGGGAGAAGGTGTACGAAGGAAGCGGCGATGAAGAAGACTCCTCCTCGTCCCTCTACAAGGGCATCGTCATCGTCGGGACGGCGCTCAACTATGGCCTCTCGTTGGCCGGCACCATTTACCTCTGCAAGCAGGAGTCGCACCTCTTTGCTTTGTAAGTGTCACTGAATCATCTTACCAACAGCAGTTGATTTCTGAAATTCCCCCGTATTTTTCAGCCTCTCTATCATCGTTTTTCTCGGCAACATTGTCATCGCCATTGTCAGCGTCTCCTATGAACGTAAGAGTGATGATGTCACTGAATCACAGAATCAGCTTTTAACACATTTTATTTATTACACTCCACCAGATATCATCATCGATCCATCTCTAATGGCACTGTACACGAGTTACCTAATTTACTTGGCCTCGGTGGAATCGCACGTCGTGAGGTAGGTAGCCGATTTTTATGTTAAGCTTTCGATTGCTGTTTCTGTTTTTGTTTGCTGCTTATTATCTTCTATTTGCGGCGGCGGCCAGCTTTTGCTTGGCACCGTCGCCCTCGTCGTCGTGCAGACGTCGAGAATTTGATCGATTACTGAGCGGATCACAGTTGGCTTGAGAGACCTGTCAAAGTTGTTGTACCAGAGTCGGCCGCTGCCCTTATCACCACTTTCCTCCGCCGTCGTTGATGCGGATTTAGCACTCTCCACCAGCAAACTCTTGACTTCAGCCGAGGCAACGCTGGTGATGGCCAGCTCAATGCAGGCAAGGGCGACCTGATTCGCCGGCCACTCAACTGCCTTTGGGTGATTGCAGACGTAGTCGTTGAGCAGCGACCAGGCGAGGAGGAACAGCTCCTCAGTGGCGGCCTCGTCGTGCAGCCAATCGCCCAGTGACTTGAGGTAGAAGATGAGGAAGCGGTGCGGCAGATCTACCGTCAGGTTAAACTGCAGTATGCGCAGTATAAAGAGCTCAAAGTGAGTGACCGAGTCGCGCAGCTTCCAGTATTTGTGGTCCTTGGACATCTGCTGCGGGTCGCTGTAGGCCAGCTCAAACTCGGTCGACTCGGGCTGCTGGCGAAGCAGGTTCTGGTGCACCGTGGAGATGAGATCAGAGAGACGGACGAGGTTTTCAGTTGCTTTGCAAGCTGCAAAGTAGAGGATGGGGGAATTAGTGATCAGGAACTAGACTTATGATGAATGAAAAACTCATTACTAACCTATAACGAGGCAGGTGCTGACGACGATGCCAATGTCGTACTGGAAGTTCGGGGCTGATGTGGATGTAGACGCCTCCTCCTCGCGTCCACCAGTTTGCTTTCTTTGCTCAAAGAAGCGATACACCCGATGGAGGTACTGGCAGGCGGTGCAAGTGGAATCGCTGTGAAGGCGAAGTGCGATGGCCGACTTTTGCGCCAGCTCAATGGCACTCTGGTGCTGCTCGCTAATGTAGAAACTCATGGCTTCCTCCTTGGGGCTGGAGACTTTCTCCTACACATCCGTTAGGGAAAAGTGTGGCCAGGTGAGCAGAAGAAAGTGAAGAGGATTGATTGCCTGGTGTGCTTTTGTTGTGATGGTCAGAGGAAGTTTTCACACTGCAGCCAAGTGCGAACAGATGGCAGTAGGGGTACTTTGAAGGGGAAATATTTCCATTTTATTCCACCGCCCAATCACAGACCACAAAGAGCGAAAAAGTGACCGAGCTCAAATCAAAACTTTTGATGGTCTATTTCTCTGGTCCTGCCAGGTTACCCGCTTTCCCGGAAGTCCAGTGTGTCTTTTTCACTCAACTCACTGGCTGGCAAAAGCAGCACTTTGGGTCTTCTTCCTCGCTCGGGCGGAACGCAACTGTNCAAATGTATTCCACCGCCCAATCACAGACCACAAAGAGCGAAAAAGTGACCGAGCTCAAATCAGAACTTTTGGTGGTTCATTTCTGGTCCTGCCAGGTTACCCGCTT